TGGCTCCGGTGATGTGATACACAGAGTTCTGAAAGAAACGCCATGGCTTTTGGGATCGGTCTTGGCGACATCATCGGCCTGGGTTGGTTGAAGTAAGGGGAGACCTTTTACACGGTCCAAGCACTAGGGCCAGCCAGGTACCAGGCATGTATCATTCCCTTAAAAAACATCCTTGATGAGAGTGCTTCGTGAAGGACCCTCTTTCAGTCTTAGCCCCTTGGACTCGATTAATCAGATTCTGAGATCAGTTGAAGAGATCAGTCGGGTTTAGGATCTGAGATGCTGGACTCCGTGAAGGGTGAAACACGAGAGGCTCGCATTCGACGATTACGAGACTGAATGTACCGTACCTATGAGACATCTACAAAATTCTACAAACATTCATTAAGATTTTGAAGCAAATTCTCAGAAAAGTCATCAGACCTTCCCCTTTGAAAGTGGACTGAAGACTGGAGACACGATTCAAGCGGCTCGCAATTGTTGCTATGGGTGGAGATCGGATCTGCTGCGAGTCTTTCCGTCTTTCTAATCCGGAAAGAGGAACCATGCAGATGCCCTTCTGGTCACCCATGCCAAGGGTAGATTTTCAAGCCCGATATTGACATCCAGGACAATCTTGGATGCATGCTTAGAAGCCCTGAAGCTGGCTGTAGAAAGCTTCTCTTCACCAGCCCTGTGAAGGTAAGATGGATGTTCTGGAAGGTGCTTGAACCTTCGAGAGAATCAGCAGCGTCCATGTTCCACACCTGGGTGCGATGCTGCATACTGTGATGGGTGCCTGGTGGGTCATGGTTTTGACCTTCTCAGTGTTACAAAAACTCACCATGTTGTAAAAACTGGGGGACGGCTTTAAGGCTGCGTGCTTCTGTATTGAAGGTTCATGTGCTGAGACATTTCAACCACTTGCACTTAGACAAAGGCAAATGGAAGAGTACTCAAATGGGAGAGACATTCCAAACCGGTGTTCTGAACGGCGCTTCGGCCAAGCGTGTAGTCCCGCTTTTTAGCATCGAGCAGGGGGATGCTGGTCACATAGAATTCACCAAATTTTTGGGCTCCGTAGAAGCTTATTTTCTCAATCAAGTTTTACCATTAGGCTTTCGTTGAGGAGCAGCCCTCTTACCTTTCTTTCACCAGCTAACAGCCGATAGCTGCAGCTGGTGTGCCATGGTGAGGAGCGAGCCGCACAAAGTCACCATACCAAGGTGCAGCTGCCAAATACGAACAAACATAGCAAGGGATGGCGAAAGCTCTTGGATTTTGGGAGAGATGGGTATCGGCATGGGAATACGAAAACCAACCTCAAATTTTTGCTCACCAATCGTACCATGTTCATCCGTGTTCTTCCAAGATCTATCATGTGATCCCAGAATGAGACAATCCAACAAAGCTCACAAAAATTGTTAGGGAGTTGCTTTCAAGGGTAGATCTCTCTTGCCTTGCCCACAAGGACGCCGAGCTTGAAGTGGCTTTCGAAAGGAATTCAGGTGCTTTCTTCAGACCCTGATGTGCAAGATCTGAGTTGGCTTTGTGTGAGAAAAAAACCTTGGTGAACCACTGTTGCAAGTCAGAACATCGTCAAGAGTACAGTCGGCGTCGATCAAAGGAACAAAGACAGGCGAAACACTTTGGAAAGGATCTCACAGGGGTTCCTTGATTTTCTTCAGCAGTGAGACCTCCGCCGTCCGCAGCCCCAAGAGATTCACACCACACCTTTTGGTCTCCACAAAACATACGCATGCACATGCTCTGCAGATGTTCAGGATGAATCATGGGACTTTGTTGGATGGAACAAGACCAACGTGCACCAAGAAAGGTCTCGCTGAGTCTCGCTGTTTGAACAGTGGCAGCTACGCGTGCTTGGTAGGGAATGCTGGGTCAGCATTTGAGAGAAAGACCTGGCCAAAGACGAACAATCCGTTCCGTCTCAGTGCTTGCAAGTGGCCCACAGAATCAGACTTGCAATGGTCGGTTGTGTGCACTGAGAGTTGTAAGCCTCAGTTGCTGAGGTGGCTCCTCTGCTGGACAGTACCAGGTCTTGAATAGTTCTGATTCCTGGAATCCCCCTCAGTCCACCAAAATGGTATGTCATGTGGTGTCGCTCCAGACAGGCTGACTCCTGGATGTTATGGGTACACAGACACTGGAACACGCATTCCAACAGCTTCGCCAGTCCAAAGGCAAGAGGTCGAGTCTCCAAAATCAATGCATTAATGTAGACCGTTGATATTCGTTGATTAATTACTGCAAACCTCCCAGATTATAGAAGTTTTACATGGTGTGACCATCCAAATTCGGATTTTATTAATCAACAGTCTACATGAGAAGGAAGTCAAGTCAAGCTCTACAGGTGCACTAATCAAACAAGAGGCCCTTGAGAGGCAATCCAAACCTTGAGAAGCCTTCACGTTTGAATTGATCTTCAGCCACCAAGAGACCTTACAAACCTACGAGACGTAATTGCCTTTTGGACATGACTTTCAACACCAGTGCTTTTGGACCAACTGGAGCAGAGGGCCGGTACAGTGCTCCCGGGCGGGATGAAGCGAGTGCCAACTGGGCCGATCATGGCGAGTCTTTCGAAACGAGAATGCTCAAACCTTCGCCAGGCCCCAGGCTCTTACACTAGTAGTAACAAGTGCCACGCTACTAGGAACAAGTGCATCGCTACTAGTAACAAGTGCCTTACTAGTAGTAACAAGAAGCTACTAGCTCACTCTTTGGACAAACCATCAGGTGCACGACATGGATCTTGGATGATCTTGGTGTGCTTTTACATGGCCCACCCGCCCGTGTTTCTGCGCCAGTTTTCCGAGATGCTCCAGGGGAGGTCTTCCGACGGACACCTCACTGATCTGGGAGATGGAAAGCAAACCGAGGCATCGACAAATGGTCCAAGTCAAGTGATGCGTCGGATTTCCCCTCAAAATGGCCGATTTCATGACCTGATTGTTTCATTCGACGCATTTTTAGGTCGAACAAGCGAACAAGTGAAAACAATTCCAGGGACACTGAAGGGGTCAGACTCTGTTGAACACTTTCTTCAGGCGTGGAAAACAAACTTTTCATCGCAGCCTTTTTGGGCGGAGCGACGGTTTGGACCGGAGTGGCAGGGCATGTTGGTGGCTTGCGCGTCTCGGTTTTCCTTTTACGGTGTTGTGAAGCAAGAAAGGAGAAGGAGTGAACCCGAACTCCCTTTTTGCGTTTGGTGGCACCGATGTCTTTGGTAGGTAGGTCATCCATGTTTGGCATCCGAATGCGGTGTCTCTTCGCATCGATTCTGAAGAACAGTTCTGTGTGTCGATGCGTGCTAAACGGGCTAAACGCGTTGTTTGGACAAACACGCCCCCAACTCTGGACTCTCTTCTCTTGCTCTTTTTTGCCAACAAAGAGCACTGCAGATGATTTTGTTGTTTTTTGTTGCAAAGTAGCTGATGAGTCAATGAGAATGCCTGCGCACTGTGCTGCACTTTCATGTAATTACTCGGTGTCCGTCATTATCGAACACATCCTGCCAAGACTTGGGTTCAGAAGCCGAAACTTGTGTATGAGCTGAGTGAGCAACTTTGCGCTGCTTTTGCTCGGTTTCCATGTATATAGTATACTAGAAGATTTCAGGAAACCAACGAACACCAACCGCACTTCTGGCCGTTCGCTGTCCCCTTTGCTTTCACATCTCCATCCCCTGGAGTCTGTTCGCTGTCCCAGACCATGCGCAGGCCATGCACCGATTTCGGTCTGGGATCAGCGACATGGCCTGGTTCGCCACGGGCCCCGGAGGATGTCGCCATCGCCTTCCGGCCAGCGCCGGAGACGAAGCGCGTCGCAGAATTCATAGAACAGGGTGGCAGGTAGTGGACTTAGTAGACATTAGAGACCTCATAGGCCCATGGGGGAGTAAAACACAGTTTGTCTTGCAAGTTTGTTGTTTTTGCGGTCCCACCCTGCAGAAGCTCAGCTTGCCGTAGTTTAAACAATTTAAGCGGCACCCAGAAGAGCTGGGCGGATGTTGTGGGCAATTCGCATCCACTGTGGTGCCTGAAGCGAAAACTGCCCGTTATTTTTGCGTGTGATTTTAGGAGTAGTCGATGGGCTGTTTGAGTTGTTGGCTCTGCAACCCAGAGCAAAGTGGTGGAACTTTTTTTCATGGGACTATTCTTGTCATTGCAAGTAACAACATATAATTATGTAATGGGTTTTTGTGTGTATTTATATAAGTATGTTTGTATCACTTACAAGGAGCTGTGGAGACAAGAAAAGAGGGCACACCATGGGCTGAATCGGCCGTTATTCTAGAATTGTGTGAATTTGCTGCACAGCGCAACAATCGACATGATGCGTTCCTTTCCAGTAAACAGACAATCCTACACACACACACACCTAAATAGGAAAGGAGGACGAGATCAAATAACACGAATGGTGCCTTGGCCTAGCAGGGCTTGGTTCCACCTGCTCCTTGTCAGTTCAACAAGCAGCTGCAACACCATCAGCCTCCATTCTATCTCAGACTACCACTGTTCCCACCACTTGTTTGAGCCCGCCGTCTCACTCGCAGCAAACAGCACTTTCAATACGCTCGTCTCGCTGCGGGTGCGTTTTATCTCGTTATGAGGAGACACCCGACACCCCAAACTCCGAAAAAGAGCGGCTGCAGCGGTGCCGCCTCGGCGGCCGTGTTTGCCACGACCGGTCGCCGGGCACCACGCATGAAACAGGTGGGCTGAACAACCAATTCATGCTATCAGCAAGGGGCAGCTTGGAATATGTAACAAAAAGAGGAGATTTTGGGGATAGCTCTCAGTCATGAGTAGATGGGCTCTCAAGGACGACTCAGTCATGTGGAACCCTCTCCTCACCGCACTCTGCTGATGAGCTGTATCTTGTCACTTCCCCTAAGCAAATCATTCCTCCTCCAGGCAAGGGTGGGTTAGAAGAGTTCTACAACTGCTGGCTTCCTATACATTACCAGGAGAGACATGTCATGTCCACAGTCGCTCCAGGTACCAATGACCATGCCACCCCCTCTACTTCCCGGCCCGCGCGGAACGCGAAACGCGGAACCCTGCGCCTGCACCTGGTTGTCCCGCGAGGGGTGAATCGTGCTCAGAGTCCTCAACAAATGTTTCACGTCTCCAGATGAGTTTTATTTGCCAGTTCTTCATTCTTGGGCTAAGTGTCAATTCAGAGCCGTTCTGCTTTCCAAATTGTGGTCTGGTGAGCGATTTAGCGGAATACGGGCTAAGTCTTAGGCATTTGCTTGCTCAAAACTCGAGAAAACCGGGTGAACTGGTTCAGTTCTTATTTTTCTGAGGCATACTGGGACACTTGTCTGCACCATTTCCCGAGTCCGAGGAGAGACCCTGGACTACTGCTCCCACATGCATTCACCCCAGATTCCACCGGGTCGAACTCGACGTCCCGGAACCAGGATCCCCTGGTGAACCGGAGTGTCCATTCAGTCTTCATTACAGTACAGGTCTACTCAATGTCAGGAGAGGACCCATCACACTTCCCGACGGAACCGGTATTTCTCTGGGATGTTAATTTTATTATTTTTTACCGTTTCTTTTGGGGGCGTTTTTTCTGCTTTTGCTTTTTGCTTCTGCTTTTGCTTATGCTTGTTGCTTTAGCTTTTAGCTTTTGCTTTTTGCATTTGCTTCTGCTTTTGCGTTCTGCTTTTGCTTTTGCTTCTGCTCTTGCCTTTGCTCCTGCTTCTGCTTTGTTTTTTTGCTGCTGCTTTTGCACTTGCTCTTGCTTCTGCTTTTGCAATTGCAAATAGGCAGCTTGAAGCACTGCAAGTGCTGCTGCAAGTGGCCAGCTTTGCTTGCAGTAAAGAGCCTGTGCCGGTGCATTCCTTTTGTGACCTTTTGTGGGCTACTCGGGGGTAACATTTAGAGGAAGGTGCCATTCCAACGGTGCATACCTTTTGCGAGCCACCCGAGGGTATAATTTAGGGGCGGAAGGTGCTATTCCAACGGTGCATACCTTTTGCGAGCCATCCGAGGATAAAATTTAGAGGAGGAAGGTGCCAGTCCAACGGCGCATACCTTTTCTGAACCACCCGAGACCCGAGAGTATAATTTAGGGGCGGAAGGTGCTATGCCAACGGCGCTTACCTTTTGTGAGCCATCCGAGGGTAATATTTAGAGGAGGAAGGTGCCACAGCCCGAGGTAAAATTTAGAGGAGGAAAGCCGAAGAAGTCTTGAAAGATTCGAAGCCGGCAGACAACCGCAAAAAAGTATCTATAGTGGCTTTTCTCTCCACTTTCCTCATTGCTCCTTCTCCTTCGTTTTTTCTCTTTCTCTTTCTCCCTCTCTCTCTCTCTCTCTCCGCGGTGCATATAATAGTTAAGTTAAATATATTAAGCATGCATGTCTTGGTAGCGTCAAGTGATTTGACAGGTATACATGATATATGAGAAGCCGAAGAACTCTTAACAGAAGTGCCCAAAGAAACCCTAAAGACAAGAAACCGAACCCAAAGAAACCCGAAACCACTGAAACCCAAAGACAGCCGCAAAGAAGTCCCTCCTATAGTTCTTCTCTCCTCTTTCCTCACTCCTACTTCTCCTTCGTTAAGTGGGATGCCTTTTCTGCTCCCTCCTTTTGTCACTGTCTCGCTCTCTCCCTCCCGCTGGCTCTGCTGCTTCGTCCCCTGACCTTTCTGCTGCTGCTGATGCTTGTAAAGCACCCTCAGAAAAAGAACGCGAAAACATTCAAGAATTGAAAACACCCGAAAAAATCCAGGAAACAAATCAATCCTTTCCAGACACGTCTTCCAAAACGCCCAGGGGTGTCACCATCTCTATCTATATTTACCTTCCTCCAACCATCATGGAAGCAGAACATGGCTGGAAAGACCCTGTCCACTTCCATCAGTTTTTGGAAGGAGTGTATCAATTTAGACAACGAGGATGTTGACTCTTTTTGTGACCCACCGAGTCCGTTTCTTCGCCCCATCGGCTGTATCGGTTCTTTCCACAGCCGATGCCACAGGCACTTTTGTGCAAGCAAGAAAGTTCCAATATAGGTTGCTTGGGTTGGAGGCCATCGCTACTAGGTTGGAGCCATCGCTAGAAGGGTGGAGGCCATCGCTAGAAGGGTGGAGGCCATTCCTATTAGTAACTCAAAAGTTTCTTTTGATCCAATCCTTGCTTTGACCGGGCCAGGCCCTCCACCGCCGATTCCCATGGCTCCGCCCGTGCCACATCGTCCTCCGGTACGCCGACGTGGGGGATGGTGCCGTGTTCTTGGGAACGAATAGAAGGGGCTTTCAACCATGGAAGCTGGACACCTGCTGATTTTGATTTTTGGTACATTGTTTGTTCCTTAACAGACCTTTATTTGATCTTTAGCGGCATTTTAGCAAACAAAGAGCCAACGTGATACAAATGAGCGATTAGCGTACCCTGCAGACCCATGATTTCCGCAGAATGCATCCTTCTTTTTCAGGACCTGTCTTGACGGGCTAGGTGGTCCATTTTCCTGTTCTTGCTGCGGGGCTAGACTATCGAGCGTTATCCCTCAGACACATGGCGAACTGTCATGGGAAGAGCCCTTTTTGAACTCGTTATACACTTCGTTTCAGAATGTGCGAGAAGAGAGAGATAGAGAGAGGGAGGGGGAGAGATAGGAAAAGAGGAAAGAGAGAGGGAGAGTGAGAGTGAGGGAGTGAGTGAGAGTGAGAGGGGAAGACAAAGAGATGTGAACATACAATCTCTGGATTCTCTTAACTGATTTGGTCTCACCCTTGTATTCCCTGCAACTTACGCCGCCGGGCTTCACGGAATTTCTACCTGATTGGATTTGGTCCACCTTCACGTTTGTTTTTCATGATTTTCGCAGCTCGCTTTCGATTTCGAGTGTACAGCACCACGTTACCAACCATGACCATTTTGAGACCAGTGACGCTACTGTCCACACTTCCATGATTTTCACCCATGCGGTTTTTGAGGTACATGTCGCAGGGTGACCAAGCTAGCAGCTAGGTAGCTTTTCCTGTTGCATGCGCTTGTCATGCTCTTGGGCTCTTTCTCTCTTTCTGTTGCTTTTCGTTTCTTGAGGCCTTTCTTTAGGTTCCAGGTGCCTTTCCGACAAGGGTGCGCCGGCCCTAAATCGGCTTTATTTGAATGTCAGTGATGGCAATGCCTTCGGGCTCCCCTCCCTGCCCCTGGCCTCTGTTGCTATCCCACCCGCTATCTAGGGTTATTAGGGTTATAGAAGGAAATCGCACTCAACACACTTGTGTGTTGGTGCCTTTCCTTCTCTTTCTCCTGTCCTACTTCTAGCTACCCGGGCGGTATAAGACAAGGGTCCCGCTCGCTAGCTTCTGCATGTATTGTAACTAACAGGCTTTGTAACTAGTCGGCCTCGTAACTACTCCTATCTTTCTCTCTTGCCCTCTTCGTTTTCTCTTTCTGTTTCTAAGGCTTTTTGTGACCAGTAATCTTCCGGCACCTGCTATCGGCATTGTGTGTACAAAGCTTCTGAACAAAATTGTTTAACGCAAGGGGTGCAGAGCGCCGATTGTGGCATAATGTGTGTGTCAACACCTGTTTCCAAGGTTCGTGCTCGGTAAGTATGCATGCAGCAGGTCCCCACTTGAAGAAAGGATGCTACTAATGGTTTCTGGCCTTGCTACTAGCAACTAGAAGCCGCTAGACCCAAGGGCCTCGCTACTAATTAAGAACAAAGAGGCAGGGACAGGGATGCAGAAAAAGAAAAAGACAAAGAAGCAGGGGGCCACCGGGGTCCCAGAGGAGCGGTGGCCAACGAAGACCTCCTGTGGGACCCGTGTAAACGTACCTGCATTTTCATTAACTGTTTAACCATGCAACTCAGTAAAGCGGCTAATGCATAGGCGGTCTGCTAGGTAATCAGTAAAGCGGCTAATGCATCGGCGGCCTGCTAGGTATTCAGTAAAGCGGCTAATGCATAGGAGCTGCAGACTTGCACCAAACAATTGTTCAAACACCTTCAAGTGCTCCGACCCTTTCACCTTTCGGTTCCATCGCCACTTTTCCTGGGAATTGAGCAACTAAGAGTGTGTGTGTGTGGGAGAACTAGACAGACGAGGCTGGGAGAGGGAAAGGAGAAAGAGAAAGAGAAAGGAGAAGAGAATATGGAGAACGGAAAAGGTAGAAGACGGCGCGTGGCGAGGCAACCTTAAAAAGTATGGCGATGCAATATGCGAAGTTTTGCTTTTCCAAAACCACAACCTATGCTGCTCGACCAGAACGACATGGGGATTCGCAGCCTTTCGACCAGACTAGGAGTCGGGTCCCGCAATTGAACACATGGACCATGACAGTCGCTTGCAGATGTTGGGATACTAGGGATTGCCCCAGTCCTGAACAAGACTGGCAAGCATAACGCTGGCAAAACTAGCGTTATCTCAGATGTTGTTTGATCGGCAAAAGCACGCACCCAACTGACACATACTGACACTCTGCAAAGTCAGCTTTGTCTTTGTTTATTGTTGGGAGGACGTGGGGAGGAATCCAACCATGGAAACTGGACAAGCTGGTCCGTCCATGATCCTTGTTGATTCCTTTGATCCCACTCTTCAGACAGCCCTGGCACTCCTGACCTCGAAAATATCCATGGGATGACCCACCCGCTTCCCAATGGCGCTGTGCCCGCCGCGAACTCCGCTTGCGCCACTGGGGCGGATACGGCCGACCTTGCTGGGCGATGCGAGAATCTCATGGCGGCCAGGCGGGTGTATCAAATGTCAAGTACCCATGGGGTGTCAAAACTTGGGGTGGGACAATTTTGCAGATGTTGTCAGTGCATATTGATTTTGGTGCTTTCTCGCAACGGCCTGCAGACACTGCCAGGTGTCCCAGTTAATAATCATCTCAAACGACTCTAACGCGCGACTTTTCGATCTTCAGAAATATTGAAAAACAGTGGATGATATTTTCCCTTTTTCCTGCACTCGCTACAATCGCTCAACAAGGGCATCTCAACGTCTTTTCTGCTGCTTTGTTTTTCCCCGCTGCCACAAGATCCCTCAAGAAACACATTTTTTAAATCAGCTTCCGGGCCGCAAAGCCTCGCCAAAATGTCAATATTCCGCCTGCCGGACAATGCCTACTAAGTATCCAAGCATCACACTGTCCCCGTTCCGTTTTCAGTCGAGGTCCGTCATCCGTGTTCACGGGGTTCGGCAGGTTAAACGATGAACAACTAGCAAAAACGAACGCAAATGAAGAGATCATGGACCACCTGACCACCCTGTAAAGTCCCTTAGACCCTTAGGCAAACCAGCGCTCAGCAGTCTAGCAGTGGCTTCCCTACTCCCATCCAACGTGCCAGGTTTTTCGGCACGGCGGGAGGTTTTTTCTCGCCCAGCTGCCCTGGGCTTGGCGGTGGCCGCGTGGAACAAAGACGGATGCTGAAGAAGATGTGGAGTTGCAAGTGGGCAGGAGAAGGATGCTCATGTTGTTTGGTGTGTGCCCCCCGCACGAAGACCTTGTTTGTCAGATGGATTATTGTCCGAAACTCACTGACTCGAGAAGACTCACTGACTCGAGACGCCAGGTTTCAGCGATGGTAGGGATGTGTAGTCCGTGCGAGTCTTTGCCAATCAATCCCCTTGCGCCGATGGCAGGGCCCTTTAGGTATGGTGTCTACTTTTTTCCCGTTTTTCGCGGCGGTTGTTCTTGGGTGGTGAAAAAAGAAGGCTTAGCGTGCAAAAGTCTGCTGATCACCCCAAAGCTTCAAGCATGCTTGTTGGGGGATTCCCCCATTCTACCGAAGCATTGGAATACCTGTTGATAGAGGAGGTTCATTGAAGATCGCCTTCCCAGGGCGGTCCCGAATGCGCGGACTGCCTGAAGGCCCTTCGTCCCGCCTTCCAGCGTGCGCGGCGCCGGCCAAAGCAGTTCGGCGTGCGGTCCGAGGCGGTACACGTGAGAACGGCTGAAGCTCTCTGCTGTCAACAGAGTTTCTGTTTGAGGAGCGAGTCAGTCAGAAACAGAACCTTTCAGAAACAGTAGCACTGGCACCGAAAGCTGTTCAGGATAAAACAAACATTGGAACGCTTCCACTTTTGACTCTTCCTAGGTTCAATTTCTCCCAAAGAGGGTAACCTCTTTTTTCGCGGCCCGCATTTTTCGCGCCTCTTCTGTTGCTTTCGGCCAAGCGGCTTCTTTTTGATCGCTTGCAGGTGTGCGTCCGCTCGCGGGCGCCGGATCTCCAGCGCCGCTGGGAAGCTTTAGAGTTCCTTGGCCGAAGGCCTTTCCAGCTTTTGGGGGGTTTGCTGGGTGAGAGATTGAGAGTTTTTTTTGTTGTTGTGGTGGGGATTGCAGGTGATGGAGGTGAAAAGCAGAAAACTTGAGAAATGCTGAGGTTGGCAAAGATCAGGATAAAGATTAGCCAAGGATACCTTGATGCTGATCCGAACGTTTGTGTAAAATTTACCATGCGTTATGTGAGGCAGTATCGAGCTGGCAAAGGTTGGGAAGACCAAGATGGCAAAGCCTAATCAATGATGAAGTATACTTGATCACCTGTTCTAGGGCATTTTGATTTGAAACAGTAACATCCACGAGAACCCCCATGTCATGCAGACGATTGCATTGAAACGGCGATACTATATATATATATAGGAAAACAAACACCTTGAACACTCGAGACGGCCCAGCTGGAAACTCCGAAGTTTCCCGCATGAAACGAGGATCGAAATCATGGAAACGGAGGTCTCCCAGGAGATTTTCGTGTTTCAGGTTGGAGGCCATCGCTGTTAGGTTGGAGGCCATTGCTTCTATGAATGGCTCCCACCAGGTCACATGGGAAGTTTGGGCTCGTTGGGTGTGGGTTGGGCTGTTTGGGCTGGTGAAGCGAACGAGCCCTGGTAAATGGCGCGGTGAGCTGCCTAAGGCTTTTCGTTTTGCAGTTCTGCAATCTCTGGACGCAAAAGATGAACAGTCTACTAAATACGGTACACGGGGCACTTTGAATTTGCATAGATTCTTGAGGCCCATTTGACAATCCAGCGGAGCCCCTCCCCCCATGCAAGAGCGAAATGACACATAGTGGCACACCCAGCTTGGCAGGACCTGCTCCAAATTGAGAAAGAGATTGCCACAGGCGGACTTTGATTCGTGGTTTGACTCCACAGATGCCGTGTTTCTCCCGAAGACGGCTCCTCAAGTTGCAATAGGACATGGGCCTGTCTTTGTTGCCAAAGTTGGCGATCAACTGTGATACTTT